GAAATAACTTGAGTAGATGGTGGGGTTATTGGTGAATTTTGTTTTTCTTTGTGCTTTTTTGTGTTTTCAAAGTTTTCTCCATTGAACATGTGTCATTTTCCAATTAGAAGAAAGTTTCTCCTTTATAAAGTAATGCATGTCCATTGTCTTAAAGTCAGAAATTACAGATGAGTGGAAAAAGGAATTACTTGTCATCTCAATGACTTGGTGGCTATATAATCTTACAGTTCCTACCCCAGAACACAAGTGTCATTTGTTTATTGTCTGAAGTTGCTCTCACTTGCTGCTTCATAGTAGGTTGCTGGAAAATATTTAACTGTAATAGCAACATTAGCTTTTTGTACTCTTATATTGATGAAATGCCTTTCTTGCTTCCTTCCCTTTGAGTCTCCTACTTTACCTGGTGCCCCAACCACAGGTCTCAGGACACAGATTGGCCTTATGGAGGCAGAAGGGCTAATTGACCAGAAAATGAACTCAGATGTAAAACTATAAATTGGAAGGGACTTGGAGATTAGCTAGTTCAGAGAGGTTACATGGCTTGATCATCATCTTACTACAAATTAAAAGCAGAGTCAGGATTCAAACCCTTGTCCCCTGACTCAGTTGGCTGTGCAGTCATTCCCCAAAGCCGTGTGGAGGCAGAACCTTTAGAAGATTTGGTGTCAGCACAGAGACCACATTAAAACTAGCCCCCTGGTCCAAGAATAAGCCCACAGAGCTCTCCTCCACGGCTCTGTACTCTTCCTGCAGCCAAATATCTGAGAAAACCAGCCATCAGTACCACATACCTAGAAGTACCTACAGGCCAACTTCTTGCAAAGAGAAAGTAGTCTCTTAGAGAGGGTGAGCCGAGACTGTGAGCCGAGACTGTGAGCCCACAGTGCACTGCACGGGGTCTCGGCCCCCCCACACACACCTCCTCCCCCCATTAGGGAGATGGGAAGGGTTTAGGCTTCCTGGTGTGTTACCACCACCAGTGTCCCTGCCATGAGCTGTGTGACCTTGGCCCAGTCCCTTCATCAGGAAATGATCCTTAGCATTTACTGTGCGTACTCAGCATGTAAGTGCAGCTGTATGCCATGCACTGGACGCAGTACACATCACGTAGCTAGGGTTCACAGCAGCACCCTGTCCTCCCGTCTGGAGATGAGGAAACGGAGGCTCAGTGGGGAGGAGAAAGTACCTAGCCCACTGTCCTGATGTCCTGTGCTTGAGCTAAGATTGCCCCTCGCACTCCAGAGTCCCTGCTGCCTACGCTGGCCTGCTGTATGTGGCCTTCCCTGTGAGACTCCAAGCTCCGGGAGGACAGGGCCAGGGCTGGTCCAATCCTGTATGCAGAGTGGCTGGCCCTTAGCAGAAACTCAGCAACTACTCCCTACACAGACGCATGCCAGGACCCTCATCACTTTGCTCTCCCTTACCTTCTGAAACCCACTGGTACTACCCTGTATTTTCTCCATCCCCAGGACCTCTCAACTGTATGAGTACCACTGGAAATTGCTCTTGCTTCCTGCCCACCTTTTCTAGGCTAATGTTTCCCATCTCCGTTTTCACTAAGACAAGCAGTATAAAGTGTTAAGATAATAGAATGCTTTTGAGTTTCTAAAAGGGTAAATTCTCTATAAATCAAGTTTTCATTATGAGATATTTGTGTACATCTAACCTAGAGGCTTCTTAAAACTCCCATTGTCTTCTCTTTGTTCATTTTTAAAGCTTTTTGATTTGGTATACAGAGAAGAGACTCTGCTTAATGTCATTAAAAGTGTCACTCGCAATGGACGGTCCATCATCTTGACAGCAGTTCTGGCTTTGATCCTGGTTTACCTGTTCTCAATAGTGGGCTATCTTTTCTTCAAAGATGATTTTATCTTGGAAGTAGATAGGTTGCCCAATGAAACCGCTCTTCCAGGTGAGTTTGAGATCTTCGGATCTTTTTAATGTTAAGAGAACAGTTCTTGATTGTAAGTGAACTAAAGAGAACGATGACTTTAGCAATGTGGGTATCTCCCTAACACTCAGACTATGAATTCTGATTCCAGGGCTTGGTTCTCACTTTATTCCAAGGGTGGTTTGGTAGGTCAGATGCTGAGTATAAGGGTCCAGAGCCTACATTTAACTTATTCACTAAAGTCAGTTTTTAAAAGAATACAACTTATTCAAAAATAATTTGATCCTATATATCGAAAGCACAGGGGGATGCATCCCTCTGGCTTGGTAAATCTACTTCTAGGAATTTATCCTTAAAGGAAAAACCTGCTGAAACAGATGTATATGGAAGAATGTTCACTGCAGTGTGAAAGTGGAACCAGTCTAAACTTTGAGTATTCCATTAGAGTGTCCTATGGGGTGGCATCCCCTGCAGAGAGGGCACATCTTTGTAAACCTTCAAGGAAAAGCACCCACAAAAGTGTGGTGGGAAATTGCAGAATAATAACTATAATAGGATCCACATATATTTTTTAAAAATGAAAAAACTCATATGTCTTTTAAAATATGGAAGAATATTACCTCCCCCCAGCAGTGGCTGTCTCTGGGGCTTTTTTTTTTTTTTTTAACTGTATGCAAGTTGACAGTGAGCTTACATTATTTTTATAGAGAGAAAACAGAAGTCATTTCCACTTTTGAGAATGAAATAAAATGATCATATACTTGAGTGATACCCAAATGTTCCTTGTCTCAATTAAAATATTTTAACACCATTAAGTGAAAGATTGCTGGGTTGTTTTGTTTTGTTTTGTTTTTTTAATCAGGTAGCCAGAGGCCCCAAGTCCAGTGAACAAACTAGAATTATTATCACTGACTAAGCCAGGCAGCCTTGTTCTCCCAAATGCTGCATTCTTGGCATGTAACTCTAGCCTCCAAGTTGACACTAAGTGAAATTTGCTGCCAACCATCTTAGGGTTCCGAACTAAACTGGTCTGGACCTTGGATTTCCGTTCCTGCTCGCTGACGCTTTTTGTGCAGACTTGGTGTAAATCTTGCTGGAGTCTGTACGTACAGTAGTATTTGTCGAAGAGTTTCAGCTGTGTGTCTTTAAAGTTGGAGAGGTGCTATTTAAGTGCGATATTTCTAGTAAGCCTACAGGAATTGACATTTCTGGCTTCTTTCCCATCCAGATCACCAAATGAAAGTGTAAATTGTATCTCTGCCTTGAATTTATATGCAGGAATGTAGGGTGTTATTTATGTAAAGAATTGTTTAATCAGCCGTGAATTGGGGACTTCAAACATTTTAACCATATGCTGCCAGATTGTTCATCATAAAATTTCCTCTCTTTCCCAGGAGCCAGCGAGAGTTTGGCAAGCGAGTTCCTATACTCTGACGTGTGTAGGGTGGAGACTGTGGAGAACTGCTCCTCTCCTGCACCCAAAGAAGGTAGGACCTTGGAGGCTTAAGCCCCATGTTAGTGTTAGGCTCCTCTGGAAGCTTAGATGGTGCACAGGACATTGGAAGCAGATGGAAGCAGATTTATTGTTCAGAAGTAAGGCCAGTAGCGAAGGGGAAAGGCTGGGAGAGAGGAGGGAGATGAAGGGAAAAGAAGGCTACATGGGAAGAAAATACCTGCTTGGTTGATTCAGCGACTATTTACTGGGTGCCCCCTATTTGCCAGGGACTATGTTGTACTCTAAGATACACCAGTATGATGGAGGAGGCAGGGAAGCACCTAGGTGATTATTAGACGTATGTTAAATGCGAGGAATAAGGAGGGAATACAGAAGATAGGCACCCAGAGGTGATAGTCAAACTAAAACAGTAGAATCTTGGACAGTGGAGGAGGGTTAGATGTTCCAGTTATTCCAGGGAATAAGGCGTCTAAAGGCTTGGAAGTAGAATATAGTGTGTTAAAGGAGATAATGATCATGAGGAAGAGTAGTAGCAAGAAATGAAGCCAGAGAGGTCAACAAAAGGCCAGATCACAAAGGGTCTTACATGTTAGGCTGAGGAGGTTAAACTTCACCCAAAGGACGAATAGATGTTAAAGTGGGGCGGGGGGAGTGATATGATGAGATCTGTTTTAGCAAGACCATTCTCCCTGCAACTGCTGAAAAGAACAAGATAGGCAGCAAGACATGGTTCTTCCTCCAAAAATGATTAAGAATGGACAGCGTCCAGTATAAAGCTATTTATCCAGGGGACCTGCTGTAAAACGTCGCTGGATTTAGCCAGCGAGGAGCTAGGTCCTGTGGGATTACCCTCAGCTGAGAGACGAGATGCTTGTGATTCGGAGTATTAAGCAACTTATCTAAGGTCAAATGCCTGTTCAGAGCTGGGACTGGAGTTTAAATCTGAAAAGGATAGGGAGTATTTTGGATTTAATATAGGGAAGGGCAGTTCTGACTTGGCTTGAGAAACAAGCAAGGGTTGGTGATGAAAACAGAATTGCCCCAGGTAACTTCAGCTTTTTGAAAGAAGGTATATGACACTTGATTCCTTAGTTTTATTCTTTCTTGTTCCTGTGTGTAGCTGGTGAGCTGGCATTCAGGGAACACCATCTCAAAATCATGGTCTCTCTTTTCCCACACGTTGTAAATCTGTTGTTACTCACCGTGTTCATAGAGCCGGTCCTTGCAGAAGAGACGAAGCAAGACAAAGAGCACACGTGTGAGACGCTGCTGATGTGCATCGTCACGGTGCTGAGTCATGGGCTGAGGAGCGGGGGCGGAGTAGGAGATGTGCTCAGGAAGCCATCCAAAGAGGTAGCTGGATCCCGAGGGGAACGGAGAGTAGGGGGGGAGAAGGGCAGAAGGGGCGGGGGCGGGGGGGGGCAGGGGGCGGGGGGCCAGAGCACAAGGCAGAGAGCTTGCGCAGAAACCCACGACAAAGCAGAGCTGGTGTAGTGCGGAGTAGATGTGCAGAGCTAGCTAGCTGAGGCTTCCTTCTCTCCACTGCCCACCCTGGAGCGGGGCGAGGACCCCTGCCCTGTGGGACGGGGCAGCTCCCACCCTCCGCTCAGGGCACGGAAATGCTTGTTGCCCCCCGGGCCGGGTCTGGCCTACCTGAATACATGTCCAAGACCCCTCAGATGCCAGGGAGCTGCTCTCGTGCACATGCCACACGACATTGGCAGAACCGACCCTTTGGACAACGGGTGTGAAAAAGAGACACAGCTGTGACTTTTCAAGTTTGCTGTCCAGTTTAACTTGTGACAGAGCAGACCCGTGGGGTGAGGGTGAGCCACGAATGTTGGGCCCATTGGCAGCCTCTTCCTTCTGCCCTGAGCTCTGCAGACCAAAGGGCAGTGGGGTGACCTCACTGATGGAGACGCCTCTTTTCTAGGAGCCCCTCTTTGCCGCTAGAGTGATCTATGACCTCTTGTTCTTCTTCATGGTCATCATCATCGTCCTTAATCTGATTTTCGGGGTCATCATTGACACCTTTGCTGACCTGAGGAGTGAGAAGCAGAAGAAGGAGGAGATTTTAAAGACCACATGCTTTATCTGTGGTGAGTGTGGCAGCCCAGCTTTCGCAGGGAAGCTCAGGCTCCACGGACTGGACGGGCTGCCCGCAGGCTTTCTGTGGCGAGGCGCCGCTGCCTCGTCAAGCCTCTCTGCCCCTGGCATTGGGGGTGCCTTTCCTCTGCCTCCCTTCTGCTGGGAGGTGTTTGCAGCCGAGGGACCCGAGCGGCAGTTCCCAGTGCCAGTGAGTCTGCAGGAATGAAGGTTCCTGTGGCAGACATGTGATCGCACATAATTTGAAGTGAATGTGTCTTGGGGTCTTTTCATTTTGGGGGGGCTGCCGAGCATCTCTTGGCCCCCTTCTAAGTAACTAGACTGGACATCTTTCATCTGGTGCCAGCCTGTGGATGTCTCCACTGCAGATGGTAGCGGGCGTTAAATGAAAGAATATTCCCCTCAGAGGGTATGGTGGAGGTGTTCAGAGCCTGGGCTCAGGACTCAGACCTGGGTTCTGATTAAGTTTCTGCTGCTTCCTAGGCACATAATCTTGGCATAGTCGCTTCACTCTCTGTACTTTGATTTTCCATCTGCAAAATGGGTACAATAATATGTACTTCTCTGCATTATTGTGGGGCTAAGAGAGCTGGTCCGTGTAGCCCTCCTAGCACAGAACCTGCACATTGTAGGCGCTCAATGAGAAGTAGTAGACAGGTGCCTGGGGTGCCCAAGAAACCATGGTCAGTATAGCCACAGGGGGTACGTGGAAATGTATACGAATCACGTAGGAATCTGGCAGCTGAGTGGTCATTTCATGATTATTCATAATACAGTAACTGTGAATATATAAATTTCCTACTGGTACGTCTACTCAAAAAATGAGCATTTTCCATTTAAAAACGTAAATCTGCTTTTTGCCCCCTTAAAACCACTTCAAGCCTTTTGTTTTGAAATAATCCCAGAATTACAGAAAAGTGATAAGAATGATACAAAGAATTTCTATCTACTCTTCATCCAGAGTCCCCAGATATTAATGTCTTACTTCATTTGCTTGTTCATACACACAGTTTTTCTTATAGTCTGAGATCCACTGGCATGATGCTCCTTGATCCCTAAGTATTTCAATATGTATTTCCTAAACAAGAAGCTTCTCTCATAAATATGCAGTATAGTTACTAAGATTAGGAAATTAGCAAAGATACCATACTGTTATTCACTCTGCAGACCCTATTCATATTTCACCCTTTATCCTAGTAATGCCCTTTATAGCCAGTGGAAGCCCAGGTCATGTTGCATTCCATTGTCACGGCTCTTTAGCCTCTGTTGACATTTTTAATGAGTATGGTCAGTTATTGTGTAGAATGTCCGTTAGGTTGGGTTTCTCTGATGTTTTCTCATGGTAGAATTGGGGTCATGCGTTTTCTGTAGGAACATCAAAGAAATGTTTATTCTCCTCAGTGCATCATTTCAGGAGGCACAGGATGCCTATTCCTCTTATAACTGGTGATATTAACTCCAGTCACTTGGTTAAGGTGGTGATCGCCAGGTTTGTCCACTAAAGGTTAGGGTTTTTCTCTCTTTGTAGTTAGGAAACATTTATGAGGAGATATTTTGCAACCATGTAAATATCCCATTATTCCTCAAATTAAACATTTATCCACTAGCTTTAATGTCCACTGATGTTTCCTGCCTGCCTCTTTTATTAGCATGGCTGTCCCTTGATGATTTTATTATTTTATTATTTCTACATTTGTTAGTTGGCTTTTTAAGAAAGAACTTTCTCTTCTCATGTAGGTATGTATACTATATATGTATTAATACATATTAATTTTGTATTTGTGACAACATGGATTCCTGTATTTTTATTTAATCCAGTGGATTATAATCCTTTAATGTCATTATTTGTTTTGATGCTCAGATTGCCCCAGATGTGTCCTGCCCTTCAAGCTGGTTTCTCTGTTTTGTCATGTCACCATAATGTTTTGTGTACTTCCTTACTTTATTAGTGCCATGAGAATGTCCAGGTTCAAGCTTAACTTGTGTCTCCCTGACCCGGCCCTGGCATCGCCCATTTTTCCAAAAAGCCCTGGTTCTTTTTAGTGGAGAAGGGTATTTAGAAGCTGGGATCCGGGGACCAGGTGTGCACATTCCTGCCACTGTACCCCTGCTCCCAGGGCTTATTAGGGTGCAGATCTAGCATAGACATGCACAAACACACCCGTGCGTATTTGTGTACACATACACGTGCCATACACTTCTGTGTCTGTTTTTATATACATCTGAAAAAGGATGAGTTCATACCCATACCTCTCATTCCAGTTCACCATTACAGTGTTTCTCCCTTTCCATAGTTGTGCTCCCTTCTTTGACAGAAATCTAGCTCCCATTATACATCATATATTTTCCTGCTCCATCCAAGAATCCACAGAAACTAGTTTCAAATAGTGGCTCACCCAGACCTCTACAAAATACAAACTTACCAGCTGAAGTTCAAAATGTGTTTAAGGTTCTCCCCCCGTTTCCTGACAAGGCCACTAAGGCACGTGGAGACTAAACAGTGACTGGGAGAGGGCAGAGGTGGGATGCAGACCCAGGGCCATCTTCCCCACAGCCTGGGTTTCCCTGTGGGGATGTAAAAGGGAATGCATGGTGGAGGCCACCAGAATCCAACTCTGCACAAAGATGGGGACTAGACCCGCAGCCTCCCCTGCGGACAGTTCTCTCGCAGACTTTTCTGCTCCGTGGCTGCTCACTTGGGGCTGGGGGCTTTTCCATCTCTCCGTAGGCTTGGAGAGAGACAAGTTCGACAACAAGACTGTCACCTTTGAAGAGCACATCAAGGAAGAACACAACATGTGGCACTATCTGTGCTTCATCGTGCTGGTGAAAGTGAAGGACTCCACAGAGTACACTGGGCCTGAGAGCTACGTGGCAGAAATGATCAAGGTGAGCCGGAAGCTCCTGGAGGCGGCTCACACTTGGGCCGGGACCGCAGCTCTGTCCTCGGGGCGAGCAGCACCGTACAGGAGCCAGCGAGCAGGTCACACAGCAGAAAAAGAACGTCTAATGTGTCCTGGGCTACTGAGCTCTTAGCCTAGGTGAGGTATTAGACTCTAGAGTTTGTGTGTCCTCTCAAGTGAACTGCAGAAGCACCAGACAGGTGGTATCATCCCCATTTTAAAGGAGGAAACAGTGAGGCTCCACGACATTCGAACACGGCCACCTAACTGGGGCTGGGCTTTTAACCTAGATCTAACCCCACAACCTGATTTCCCATCTCTGCGTACTCAGCCTCTTTTCTTCGTCATGGATCCTTTTCTTTTTTCTCCTTAAATAAGACCTGGTCCCTAAGAGATAACTTTAAATAATGATCAGTTGATGGAATTCATTCAGCCTGGTTTATTTGCTCATTTGTTTGGCCTCAGTCTAGCCTTTCTGGGAGATGCATTGCTAATCATTAGGAAGGGATCATATAATGGAGGAATTGGAGTCCCGAATTAATCTTCTTGCTGTTGGGGAGCGTGACCGCCGTGTCCTGGGAAGAGGGGAAGCTGCCCCGGGTTTCCAGAGCACTCCTCTCGGTCAGGACTTTGCAGAGGTACCAAACGTGTGCTGTGGGGCTCCCAGGGCAGCTGTCCTTTCATACCTGTGGTTTCTGAACTTCATTAAAATGTTCAGGGGCATTGGTAAAGCGACGGGGCCTGAACTGTGAAGTCTAGGGAGCCTCTGTGATTTACACGAGCTCGCTCTGGGGAGAGGGGGCTACAGTTCACTGACTCTCCTTCCAGTTGCCAAGGACTTAAGCACTCAGCCTGATAATGAGTTATCCTAAACGGACCCGTCTGTGTTTTTTATGCAGATGTGATTTTAAAGCTTTTACTATAAGGAAATCTCAGGTGATGTCTGTTCCTGTAAATAGCATCATTCATATGCGGCAGACTCAGGCAGGCTTTTAGTTTTATTGCTGGCAGGCCAGCAGTCACATGGCAATATTCTTGAGCACCCCACCCCCACCCCCATAGAACACCAGCTTGGAGGCCTCTGCAGGTTCCGGAGGGCTTTCGGGCGATTCTGTGCCATGTGTACCTTTGAGGTCCTTAACGTCGAATTCCATGCTCCTCAAATTTTAACATACATAGAACTCACCTGGAGATGTGGTGAGGGTTTGGATTCGGATTCAGGGGGCACCGTCAGGACTTGAGAGGGTGCACTTCCGGCAGGTGGGGGGACGCTGAAGCTGCAGGCTGGTGGGTCATGCTTGGAGTAGGAAGCATCCAACAGAGGAGACAAAACAATGCTGATTGAAGAAATGATCCTCTGAACTGGTGATGTGAGTGCCGAGGAGAGGGATTCTTAATAATCTCTAAGTATTTAGCACTCTATGGCTTGTAAAGCTCTTTCACATCTAGTACTGTGTTTGATAAAATTACCCTTAGTGGGGAACCATTCAGAAAGAACTTAGAGGGTAGAGAGAAATGGATGAGGTTTTACAGCAGAGATGACTTTTATTATTTTTTTTCTTAAAGATTGTATTTATTTATTTGACAGAGAGAGACACAGCGAGAGAGGGAACACAAGCAGGGGGAGTGGGAGAGGGAGAAGCAGGCTTCCTGCTGAGCAGGGAGCCTGACGCGGGCCGATCCCAGGACCCTGAGACCATGACCCGAGCCGAAAGCAGACGCTTAACGACTGAGCCACCCAGGCGCTCCCAGAGATGACTTTTAAAGGGGTGTTGAAAGAGAGAGAGTCATAGATTAGCGGAAGGAGAAGAGAAAAAAAATCAGCCGAGAGGGAAAAAAGGCAGGAGTTCCCAAATGTGGCTGCTGGGTGTGCTCCCTAACAGATGAAAGCCAGGATCAGGGTTAGTGACAGGGACTGCACCACAGCCGCAGGGAGGGAGCAGACAGGGAGGCGGCTGGTGGCACCGCGCCAGGTGGGAGCAGATCTGTTGTTAATTAGGAATTCTGTTGGTTGCCAGGGCAGATTTTCGGCTAGGTCTCCAGGGTCAGGACACATTAACTGAAAAGTTCTCCTAGCCCATCTTTTCCTCCGATTGTTGATATTGCCAAATGAAGATACTTGGTCAGCATTCATGGGACAGCGACCCGTCTGCATGCACACACAAATACCTTAATTCGCATTAAGTCCTGTAATGGGTAGAGGAGAGGACCTCTAGTTTTTACCCTTGTCACACATTCTTTTTCTCCTTCACTTTGTTTGCTTCTCTCGAAAGTATTTGTGCCCTGTCTTTAAATCTTCAGGGGCCAGTTTTAAAGCTTTCTGTTAATCACCTTACTTAACCGTCACAGAAAACTCTGGCGCACTTTAAGGTTTCTGTCTCAATCGTCAATCGTGAAGACTTAAAGGAGCCTTGTGAGCAGTCACCTGGTGAGGATTAAGGGCCAGAAGTCACCCCCCAGCCTCCCACCGAGCCTGCTTAGAGCCCATTGCTTGGCGACGCTTTGAAAAACCCAGCATTCAGTGTGCTTTCCTCATCCACATCATTCTTAAATTGTACCAGAACTTCTTGTCAAAAGGCCTAAAAATATGTAGCATCAAAAAATTCTTAACTCTGAGTGTCAAAGTTGCTGAGGAACCAGATATTTCATGCCCTTAGTGAGGGCTCAGGGAAGGGTTAGATGCACCGGCTGAAAGGCTGTGCCTTTGGCCAACACCATTTTCAGTGGTCACATGAGTCCCTGCCGGCCACTCCCTGGAGAGCACTCGCCACAGGAGGGTAGACGGGGGCTGTTCAGCTGGAAGCCCAGGGGAGCTCAGAGCTGCGGGGGAGCAGGCCACATGTCCGTGGCAGACCCATTCGGTCATACCCTGTGGAGGCAGCCACGGCCCAGAGACGAGTTCCTCTCAACATTCCTCCTGAGGAGGCAGGCCTCCTGCTCACCGCTTCTGGGAGGAGAAGGCTGGTGATGTCTTTGAGAAGCCGACTCTATTACTCCAGGATCAAGGAGAGGGGGGCAGCTAACAGCGTCAGAGAGGGAAGGAAAAGTCAGCTACCCTTTTGCTTACTTCACGTCCCAAAAGAAATCACGACAGGCTTTTTTGGGACTTGGGTTTCTCAGGAAAACCACCTCTTGCCTAGTGGCCAGAGGCTGGGGGTTTTAAGCTCTCCCTGAGCTCATGAATTAAGATCCTGGAGACTCATTAAGAACCGTGAAGTAACAGCTGCCCATAGACAACCCAGAAGAAGCAAACAGAAGAGGCCCCGGCTGGTCACTTGGAGGTAGAGGAGGAGCTTCACAGCTGCCCGGGAAACAACTCCCTGCAGACCGTGGTGTCAGGGATGGTAAATAGATTTTCATCTCAAAAAAAAACATGGAGACGGTGCGCTTCTTGCCAGAGATGGCAGCAGAGAACTTGGCAGCCAGATGTTCAGCCACACTTAATTTTCATCGAAACATGATAGAAGATTGTATATTCTCTTCTCTCTCCTTCTGGTCATGCCCTCTCTCCTTCCATTAGAGATGCACTATTCCCGGCAAAGCCAAGGCCAGGCTCATGCCTACCATGAAGTCCTTGCTCCCTAAGCATTGGATTCGAAGGCAGAGAATCCAGGATGTGAGTCTCGGCTCTGCTTCTTCCGAGCCACGTAGCCCCAGGAAGTCATGGGGCTTCCCTGACCTGGGTTGCTGTCCGGAAATGGGGGTTAACAGCACTTCCCGTGTCCACTGGGTGATGGGACCAAGGTAAATGTGGGGGACCGGGGTGGGGCTGGTGGGCCCTTGAGGAGGCAGGGAGTGGATGCCAGCAGGGCCAGACGGACACACAGAGCAGTCGGCAGGGCACCAGAGCCCTGCCAGCAGAGAGCTGACGCAAGCATCGTGTCCTGCACTTCACGGCTGTGTAAGATGCCTTGGCTGCTGGCACGCTGTTGCTAAGAAAAGTCAGAATGGGCATCTTGACGCCAAGACGTTCCTCCCATGGAAAATTCCTGCTTCTTCCTTGCTCTTAAATTTAAATGTTTTAAGTGCTCTTAAATGTTGGAGCAGGACAAAGTTGACATTCTCACTCTTTCTCCATCGAACAGGCCTCAATACCGGGGACTCGGACCCATGTGTTCAGCTGCGTCCTCCACTCACAGTCATTACCCACGACCAGGAGTTGGGGTGACGTGGGGAGTGGCCCCCGGGTCTGTGTATGAGATGCTGTCATGATTGCCCCGGGTTCTGTGCACATGGCCGAAGCGGGTGCTGTCGCTGGCACTGCGTGGGGGGAGCCCAGCACCCCCGTACCTCCATGCAGAACGGACAGTGCCGTTTGGATGGGAGAGGCAGCCTCAGATTCGTTGACTCAGGCCCCAGACAGGGCTGTACTTACAGAGAAATGTGACTACAGAGTGACCTCACTTAGCCCCGGCAGCTCAGGGCAGGAGAAAAACCCCTGAGCTTCCTCTCTCCATAGCAACTGGATGTTTGGGGCTACCATGCAGAGTTTTAGTGGCAGCCTTTATGAGAAGCAAAGTTTTATTAGCCCTGAACTACATTTAAATTTTCACGATAATTGATGTACCACATGCTCTTCTTAAATAATTTAACATTCTTTGACTTCTCTCTCCTGCTGACTGAAATGAGAATGTGTTAGTCCATAGACGATGATTTGATAGGCCATACAATCAGATATATTTAACCTGGATAAGTGGTAAATTAGTTGTATCTTTGCCTGAAGGAATTTAAATATTGCACAGTGGGCAAGTTGTACATAAAAGATTAAATACAGGATTCCCAGCGACGATTCAGCAGCCCAATTTTCTGTGACAGTCTAGCTCAGGAGAAAAGCCAGTGCTTAATCTGTTAAGCAGACTAAGTTATTCTTGAAAGTTAAAAACTCCAGAAATATTAAGAAGGAAGGTCAGTAAAGAAGACCAAACTATAATTTAATAAATAGCATCTATTTTGTTAATGAAATAGATTTCCCTTCGGTATCTTGGAATTCTACCTTGAAAAATAAGTTCTATTTTCAGAGGCGTGTGTTTGAGTGAATGGCCGGGTGGTCAGGCGGAATATTCTTCATCCATATTTCAGCATCCCCCGCTCCCTGGAGCTACTCTGGCCCCTTCTCTTCTCCAGGAGGGCGCGCTTAACTGACAACTGGGCCGGCTGGGGAGAACCTCCTCCCGCCACAGCCTGAGTGTCAGGAGATAGGCCGCTGCTTCCGGAGGAGTGGACCGGGCTGTGCTTTGCTGTAACAATGGCAGATTGGATAATAACTCTAATAATAGGTCATGTTTAATCAGTATGCACTGAAATAAATGCTTGGCATGCATGGTCCCGTGTAATCCCCAGAACAGCATTTGTAGGTGGCGCTGCCACCATTTTACAGGTGGGAAACTGAAGCCCAGCCAGGGTGAGCAGCTTCTCCAGGGTCCCCCTGCTGGGAAGGGCTGCAGCTGAGACTCCCATCCAGGGCTGCTGAGTCAGAACCCACCCTGGGGCTGTCCTGACATGCGCACGTGCAGCGTGGTTCCCTCTGTGTTCACGCACAACCCTCTGTGTCAAGGACGTGCCGCCGTTGGTCAGGCTGAATCTGGTTTTCCTGCCTTGGACTGGCTTATCTCCCAGGAGAATTAGCCACCTTGAAAAGAGGCCAGGCCCGGCAAAGGCCCCACTGGGGTAGGGAGAAGGACCTCCTGGGTGATGCTGACTGGCTAACGCACAAACCAGCGAGACGGAAGCTCGGTGCATTCGATGCGTGTTAGTTCTCTGAGCTGCTGCCAGCACTGCTGGTTAGGCAACCACCTGGAGTCGAATACTCCAGGGGGTTGTAGACATGACGAGAGTTGGGGAGAGGCAGAGCCAACTCTTGCAAAGGGTGTATCTGAAATAGGGGTTAATTCGGACTTGGTAAAACCTGAGAAACGTCATTACCCTCCCCTGAGCCTGGAACAGGGAATGATATTCCCTTCGGTGGCCACTATTTGAGGGAAGAGAGGTGTCTAAGTTAAAGGGGAAGGAAGATTCGCCAGAACCATAGACAGACGGGCTTCCACACCAGGGTGACTCATCTGCATAGTTAGAACTCCCTGATAATTAGAATGTCTGATCCATCATCCTTTAAGCCTGGTGCTGACTTTTTCTCACAGTGAAAATAGACCGCTCTTGACTTCTCTCCCTGCCCCCTCCATCCCTCCGTCTCTCTCTCTCTCTCTCATGCTCACACACTATTCCACTAGAGATTTTCCAGTTTGTTCCATCTTGTATTAATTCACTTGACCTCTTCAGAAACTAGTTGTATAGGGTTATAAAAGCAAAGAAACAATTTTCCAAGTCTAAAGTAGTATCAGGTTAGCCAGTGAAATGCTCTTAGAAAATAGTGCCCCAGATAGGAAGGCCGAGTCCAGGAGCCTGCATTCCTGGAAAATGCTTTACTGAAAGCCCAAGTCAATTTGCATCAAAAAAGCCATGTAAGAGAGAGAGAGAGAGAGCTCTTTTTGGTTGGAAAATACCTCTTGGGTAAATTTCCCAAGCAAATAAATTCTTTTAGCAAATAAAGCACTACTAAACATCTAAGAGGAAGATTCGAAAGCCATAGGGCATCTGGCCTCAGCACTTGTGTTTATCTGTATTCGATAAGAAGACACAGGAAGCAAGCACAGTCAGAAAGCAATGTGTTAACAAGGGCAAAAGATCAAAATGGGAACTGAATTACCTACAAGTCACTGCCTTCTTTTAAAAGGGGAACTGACACAAGTCTCGCACCTTTCTTGACCCGAGAGAGAGCCTGGTGCTATGAAGTCTGCAGACAGGCACTTTCCAAAGTGAGGGCAGCGGCTTTCTGCCCGGAGGAACTGGGTAAAGGGACCAAAGGGAATCGCTCCGCACAGAAACACAGAAACAGGAGAGCAGGAATGAGTGGTGTTTCCTAATCAGATAAAAGCAAGGCCCTGGAAGTCTGCAGGGGAGGGGTGCTGGCAGGGGCGGTGTGAGCCGGGAATGTCCGTGTGGACACAGCCGTCCTGGAGGGTCTCGGCCCCAGGCAGTGAGAATTCGGGAGTCCCTAGCAGCCAGGACTTGGGAGTCCAGGAGAGGTCAGCAGCCTGTGCAGCCACCTCCCCCCCACCCATCCCCCTCATCTGTGCTTCATCACGTGCCGGGCAGGCTGCTTCCACGCAGATGTGCAGTAATGGGCTCGGACTTTTATTATGGAATTCCAGGGAGGATGCTGGGAGGAAGGGAGTGCCTTGGTAAGCTCCTGGGACAGAGATTTCGGCACTGGTCGTGCTGTATCATCAGCTTCCCTGCCTGACTTAGGGGGGCTGCACGCCTAGATGAAAATGTCCCCTGGGCTCCAGAAGTCCTTAGCCGTGCGTGAGGATGTGGCCTGTGAGGCTCTCCAATACGATTCCCAGCATGCTCCCGAAGTTAGCCGGCACCACGGCAGAGTTCGAGAATATCAGAGCAAGGGAGACGTGGAGAGGGGTTTGGCACTTGCTCTTCAGTGGCTGGAAACAGCGCGTCAGCAGCACTGGACTCGCCTCCCAGCCAGCCAGACGGGCTCTCGCCCCACCCTCCGCACTTGAGCTCGGGTTCGCGGCGGTGCGAGCGGCATGGGGCAGTTGCTGGGCTTGTGCTTCCCCGCCCGCGCTTACCACACGCTCTGCCCTCTCGTCTAGAGGCTCTGAAGTCACCCCCTGTCCCGCTGCGCACTTCACAGGTGCCTTCTTCTTCTTATGAAGCACTTGGCCCTGGGACCCCAGGTCTGCACTGTCCTCCGAACTCTGCACAGCCTGACCGTCACAGAGGGTGCGTGAGGCACTGTTGGTAACAGTGGAGTGGGACAGAGCCATAATCTGCCTGAGAGGGCTTTCTGTGCTAACTTAGCGGACAGGGAATGCAGTCCACCCAGCGAGCCCGTGCAGACGTGGAGCGCTGTATGCAGCAACTGTTCGACCAGTCAGCTGAAGACTGCGTTCACCACCGGTGCTGGTCTCCCCACTGTGAGCTGGTCCAAGGATGTCTGCACATGCTTGTGTCTGTACATAAGTACCTGCTTACACAGTTCCCCCAACTCAGCAGACATGGTAACTCCAGAAATGTATTTTTCTCCCCTTCACACGCTGGACGTGCCTTCCGCTCCTTGCCCCAGTGCTGACCCCACCGGGCTGCCTTCCTGGTCGCCTGCCATCCCAGACACCCTAACTGCACTCGAAACTCCTTCGTTTCCTCCTGAATCTAAACACTGATTGTAACTGATACAGCTTACTTGATTATAAGAACACAGTATGTAATGCATAGAACATACAGAATATGTTGACTATTGATGCCCATCAGCAGTAGGCTGCCGTTAAGTTTTTGGGGAGTCACAAGCCCTATGCAGATTTTCACGGTGCGGGAGTCAGTGCCTCTGAACCTCCATGATGTTCAAGGGCTAACCGTGCCTACACTCAGGAGTCTTTAAGATACCTCCTGATAACGAGGCCTGCAAGCGTGCTGCTAAGGAATGTGGGAATTGTAGGTGTAGTCCTGCATGTGTGCAGCTTACACAGGTGGACAAGGCTCTCAGCTTCTCCTTTCACAAACCCACTTCTTTTCAGGGCCTTCGTGTGACCACCTATAAAGTAAAGTTGAACCAAAGGGTCTCTTATGCCATCTTGAGTGCTACGGTTCAGTGAAGCAACTTGCGAAGTGCCGGGAGGAGTTCATGAACTGCTGAAGAGGGTCTTTGTCAAGAGCAGGGATGTAGGTGTCAGGAGGGAGAGAGGAGACCTATGGGAACAAGCTAGTCAATCTTTGGGGTCAGAGGGCACAGGGCAGGTGAGTAAAATGGGGGATTTGGAAAGGACTGAGGAATTGAGAGAATCTGCACATAGCTGATGATCTCTTTCACCCTTAAGAGCTGAAGCTGTGTGGCGCCTTTCTTCCACGCCATTCTCACGGCAGTGACAGTGCTGGTGACTTGCCCCTCAACTCTTGCTGGAGTCTATGAAGAGTAAGAGAGAGGGCTTTCTCCTCTCTGCTTTGAGTCTATCTAGGCAGGGCTGACCTTAAGTAAAACCGCTTGAGTCAAGAGTTTGCCAACATATAAACCCACAGGATGGGTTTATATGTTAGAGAGAACACTGTTTGTTGTATGTGAAACAGCTTAGTAAGGCTTATGGGTGTGTATGTGTCTGTAGGTTCAAAGATAAATGCCAAGTATTTTTTTCCTGAAACAACAGCGAAGAAATTTGGAAAGCTATTTAAGTAGGCTTAACAAAAACCAAAAACCATTACTTTATAAAGGTACTAAGAGATCAAAGTTGAAAAGTCAGGAAACCCAAAAAAGAATAGAGGAAAACCAACAGAAATTGCTAAAATCCCATACATAACCTCTGGGAACATTCTGGTAGATTTCTTAGCTAACTGAAAATGCAGGGGAAGTTGCCTAAGCAAAATGTCATGAGCCAGCTCGAGAGAAGGGCAAGGTACCTTAATTGTTCTTTATTGGGAATCTCCACTGGGCCAACCCTGCCTTGTCTGACAGCGGCTGCCAGCCCCACCTTACCCTCCTCCTCTGCCTGGCAGCCCAGGTGCCCAGGACCCAGCCGCGCCACTCTGCGTGGCAAGCCCTGCTTTCTCAAAGTCTCCAGGGCGCCCAGAAACCACTTCACCTGAGGGCCTAGAATGACTGAAAACCGTGATTCTGCAGCTGGCTTTTAGGGATTTCATCAGAAATGGGTGTGGTTCTCTCTACTGGCAAGGGCCCGTCTTTGTTACACTGTATGGTCCAAGAACGACTGTTAACTGAGTCTGGGAAGGCTAAGTGGTCATTCCAGACCAGCTGACGATTATATAACCCCTCTGACACCTAAAGTTGGGAGCACTGTGGGCAGCCTTCACGTGGCTGTGCTGGTCAAAGAGAGATGTGTATCTCTAATAGGGAATCCCATAGAAAGGCAGGAACTAACCGGACCTGGGAGTCAAGCACCACACGTGGAGTCAGTATCTGGATTCCGGGGCCGACTCTGGACTAGCTTTGTGACCTCAGGCTGATGACACTGATTTATAATTCTTTTGCTTAAGGCTTTCCAGCTTCTGGGACACTTTCTCATACTAGCTCCGTGGGGGCAGCCCTGTGATCTCTGTCTCAAAAAAACAGAAACAGAGACCCCAGTCGGTTAGTGACGCTTTCACCGGCACGCTGTCCTGTAGCACTGGGGCGTTGTGACCTGAAGTCCTTAGCTCCTGATTCAGGCCATCCCTCTTCCTGCTGACAAACTAATGTCACAAGGCTGTTGCAGAAAGGCACCTGGGAAGTGGAGGGATACTGTATGTGGTCTGAGTTCACTGTACTTTGGAACAGAGCAAAGTGGATCCTTGGATTTGGGACTGGTCATCAAATTCCGGGTGTGGGAGCCATTGTTTTTAATGAAGTTTATTTTTTAGAGCAGTTTTAGGTTTACATGAAAACAGAGCAGAAAGCACAGAGTTCCCGTATACTACTCCCTCCCCACCTCACCCCCCCCACACACACAGTTTCCCCTATTATTAACATTTTTTATTACTGCAGTGTATTTGTTTCAATTGATGAACCAGTATGACACATTACTATTAACTACAGATCAGAGTTTCCATTGGGGTTCACTCTTGGTGGTGCACCTTCTATAGGTTTTAACAAATGTATAATGACGTGTATGCCCATCACAGCAGCAAACAGAATAGTTTAACTGCTCTAAAAATTCTCTGTGCTCCGCCTGTTCATCCCTCCCTCTCCCCAACCCCTGATCTCTTGACTGTGTCCATAGCTGGGATCCATTTTTTAGTGTAGTTTTTAATGTATAATATTTCCTGTAAACAGCAATTTTAGAATCATTGAGCATAGTTAGAGATCATTGTCACCGTTTTTCACCCAAAGCAACAGATTCTGGGTTTTGTTTTTTGCTATAATCTTACAAAAGTGAGCTCTAAAAATGAATTATTTTAGTCCTCTTCAGTAAAAATAATCACCCCTGTCCATAAAAGGGGCAAGTAATTTAAAGTTTATTAAGTGTCCTATATTCCTGCTTTTGGAAAGTTAAGGATGATCTTCAGTCCTCCCCTGCCCCCCTCCCTTCTCTAGTCATTCCTATCCCCTGCGTGTCCCCAGGCTTTCTGGGAAAACCTGGTTTGTCATCCCGCTTGGTAAAATAAGGAGAAACACACTCGCCATCTGAGTCGAAGGGACAGTCTTTACCTTTTTGATTCTCCTCAGAGGGGGCTATGAAGGATCAAGAAGCCACGGGTCTCTTTCTCCAGGACCCAGCTTGTCTCCCGTGACCATTTCTTTTATCCTCATGCCCCACCCCACCCCCACCACCACCAAGAAATCTAAATTCTCTAGCCTGGCTAAAAAGGAACAAGGGATTCCGCAATAAATGTTCCATTGTTTACATGGTAAACAAAATTCTACCTGAGCGGACTTTCTCTGAGGAAGGTGACTGATTACTTCAGTCGTCTTTCTTAGAACAGCCTCTTCAGTTGAACCTGGGAAGAAGAAAAAAAACCTCTTCTCAGAATGATTAGCATTTGCATCATACAATCCAACTTCCGCTCCTCCTCCTCTCTGTCTCTGTCTCTCACTCACACACACACACACCCTCCTTCTTTCCAGTCAAGGACATTTCAAGAGGTCAGTACCGCCCCCGTGTCTAAAACTTCAATGTTTGCCTTTGCAGGGACTTTTCCAACTTTACCTAGAAAAGAACTAACCAGAACTTTAGCACTTGTGGTCAGCCTGCTTCCGGCTGTGGCTTCAGTCAGTTTGTCTGCTCTGACAGAGGAAGCGCTTGCTGTGACGGGAAGTGCACTGGCTGGATTGCAGGAGGACCAGGGCAGACAGTGCCTAATGACATTGGTATGCGACGTGCCAGCAGCAAGGGGAGCCAGAGAAGCACAGAGGGATGTCTCAGACCCAGAGTGACAGATGCTACTGACAGACGCTCAGTGAACCCACAGCCTCCCCCAACACCACCGTCCTGAGCATGCACGCGCGCGCACACACACACGCTGAACTCATGTACAGACAGAATGCCATAGTTGAAGGTGATTTTCTCAAAAAATGCGGAAGCCGAGACACTGAGACATGTTTTTGATCTTCAGTACACATAAAGGCAGGATTCTGCAGGCACTTCTAGACCTGCAGACTCTGACCGGCTGGAGAACCGTGTGCAGCAGTCCTGTAGCACTCAAGCAAGCACAGCATTTCCTATGAAAGTCTGAGTTAAGTACAAAGGAACTGGATTCAGGTGTTCTCTCTGCTCCTGTCCTAGTAATTGGGAGAGTCTAAACATCGTCCCTTCAAGATGTAGATTCTCTAGAGGGGGTATCCTGTCGGTAAGCAACCTTATATCCTGCATCGGAGCTGCTCCTGTGCAGGGTGTAAAATCAAAGGGAAGCTGAGAGAACAGTTTGGCTAGAACTGCTAATTAATTTTAATCACTAGGTACTCCTTGGTAATTTGAGATTTGACTTAACAGCTCAGGATGATTATTTAATTAAAATACTGGCAACACCGAGGATCTCAGATTTGGGGATTTACCTACCTCAGCGCAGAAAAGCTAATAATACATGCCATCCAAAGTACTTGATTTCTGCAGTTGAGCTGGTTTCCTACGGCTTAGGATTTTAGTGGGATTCCCCCACTTTAGATCTCATTGTTAAATATTAGAGTCGGAGGAAAGCATTGAGAGAAAACCTGTATGGTGATAGCCGGTAAAGATCTAGACCAGAAACCCTTTTCCAGCTCTGCACTGAAGGGCCCTCCTGAGCTGGAGAATGAAGGTTTATCCCTAGGATCAGGGTACGTGGCCCAAAGCAGCCTCGGGCCAATATGACATTTCTTTTAAATCTTGGATTTTATTTTTTAAATTTGATTCAATTTCATGTTCTGTTGTAGGGGCTATTTTGAGTTTAATATAAAAGTATTTTTAGTAATTTACCATTGAATGAAATGGACATTCTAAAAAAGATGCCTTATTTTCTGTCTGTGGTGTTATGGACCCCCGGGCCAGGCCTTCCTGCCCCAGGATTACAGGTATCTCATGCACAGAAGCACAAATAAAGCAAAAACAAAGGGGATCCGAGTGCACCTTCTTAGCCATGGAGATGAGGAGCATGGACGCCAGTAGCGGCCATCCTGATCCCGGCAGACCTCATTCATTCATCCAGCAGGTCCTCGTTAGGCACTCACAACCTGGGAGTCCCTCAGAAGTGACGGACCATGCCCCAAGACCTGCCCCCTGACTGCAGTCTGTGTGCTAAAGCACCTCGGGGCCAGGGACCAGGTTTGCTCGTCTTGAGACCCTCAGCCCTAGGCCGGGCACGGAAGTTATAAATGTTCAGTAAACAGTTAAGTGAAATCTGTGCATTTTGCATTTGTCCAAAGACCTTTCTGAAATCCTTCCATAGGAGTCCAGGAATCAAATATATCATGAAAGAAGGTGGGAACCTGCCACGGAAAACTTCTTTTAATCTGTAATCATTTGGTCACTTGCTGTTGGAATACAGAAGAGAAACTGTTGCTTGAGCTTTAAGCTGTGTGCAGACTCTTGCATCAGTTTTCTGTATTCTTTTGAAGACTTCATTAATGTCAACTCTATTTGGAAATCTGTGTTTTCTATTTTATGGGGGGTTTGCTAAGCAAAGGAACATTGCAAGATTTGAGAGCTAGACTAGCTAGAGCTAGACTTCAGATGCATTCTCTAACCCGATGAGGCAGTTTCCCACGTCCGTAGTGAGGTAGCTTCAGGTGAGTCCTCGTTACCCTACCCGCTAAAGTGGCTTGCACATGTCCCTCTTCCTGCATCTCATCAGGCAGGCCCACAGGGACTCCAGGTCACCCCTCGCCTCCTCCTTCCCTCGGCCAGCCCCCTGACCCCGGTCCTCTTCCTTCTGTGCGATTTCCTGCGCCGGTCTATCCCACACTTCAATCCTTTTACAGGATTCTACAGTCTAAGCTGCCCTCATCCCCCACTCCAGCCAAACTGGTTTCCTCCCTGTGCTGGCCCCACTTGGTTGAGAATGCCCTCATGCTTGCCTTTAGTTTGGCCAAGCACCGACTCTCCTTCAGGGCCATGGCCAGTCCTCACTGCCAGTCGTCCTCACTGCCAGTTAATTCTGACTTTGGCCCTACTCTCTGCCACTCATTTGACAGAGCACAGCCTGCTTTCTACCGTTCTTCTTTTTTAATGTGTGTGTCCACTCATTAACTAAACAACAAGTGTTGTGATGGCAGGAACCCTATCTCATACTTAGGTCTGCAGGCCATTTCCACTTGAAAGAGGTCCAGGAGGCAGCAATCGTGTGTGAGTTTTGTGTCTCTCTCTCTCTCTCTCACACACCATGCACATAAGGGAAGTGCCCCTGAAGCAGATGTTGAATATATATTTTTAAAATATTTCCTTCCAGGAAGCCAAAATGCTTATACTTTTGATTTGAATCCAAAGAATTAGCAAATATTTCACCCCAAAATATACTCAATAATAGCAGTTTATAATTCATTAGCACCAGATATTTGTCAGGGTCCCCTGTAAAACAGGAATTTGTTAGGTCCCTCCTCAGGACAAGTGACTTTCCTTTTCAAGACTCAGTTTTCTGCACTACAGATACAACTGTGACCGTGATCTCTAAACTCCTCCTTGGCATGACATTCTGTCACATCCCAATCGATGGTGTCTGCTCCTCTGAGTCTGACAGTGTAAATAGGACATTGGGTCTTTCCTCTTCAAGTTGTTCTCCTGGTTGGGTTGCGGGGGGTGAGGGGGGATGTCAGTCTGCAAAATTTGCTAGCAGTCCCTGTGGACAGGTGAGGCCTCTGATTGCCGGTCCCGTCCTGTGCTCTGTGATCCTACTGCATTCGTGCTTTGCAAAGGCTCACAGTTTCATCAGCCCAGCCCACACCCTCTCTCCTCCCAACACAGGCTGCTTCGCCCCAGTGCGAGTAAGTAACCCCCAGCCACCCATCCCCTGGGGATGTCCTCTTCTGAACAGTTAGGTTCATCCCTCCCTTAGAGTTGGACAGACACTGAACATGGGATGTTTCTTCGATGGGAGGGTGTGACTATGTCTGAAGGACTGACCCAGGAGCAGTGGCAGGCTACCTTAGCTGCCTTCCAGCGGCACTGCCAAGCTTAAATGTTTTTAAATGTCTGCTCTCTTCCTCTGCTTTGCTGTAGACACAGAGCAGAAAACCGATTACAGACATGGAAACACCTTAGATTTTTAGGCGGTCATCTTTGAAATGGGATATTTTATTGAATGGTCTTTTTGCCTGTTGTACTGTGGTGGGAAATTGATGAAAATGAATATAGGCTAACATTAAGTTACATGTGAAGTGCTGATCACAGGGTATTTGGTACAGGAAGGTAGAGATCATCATTTTCTCCTCTGGTAGTCATTCTAAGCAACTGAGGTTCACCATTTAAGCATTTGCTCTGAGGGCCCATGCAGGAAATAGAGATGGTTTATCATTCCTCCCTTCCACAAATATTTATCAAGTGTCTACTGTGTTCTGGTTACTACACGAAGGTGGTTTCTGCACTCATGATGCTGAAGGGCTAGTGAGTTCCTACTTAACCAGATTCCCCAGATGTTTTAAGACAACACTCTAAAGTAGGTGTGATGTCGTGTTGCCCGTGTGGTCTGCCTTCTTTGTAATTTTTTTTTAAGATTTTATTTACTAATTTGACAGAGAGAGCACAAGCAGGGGGAGCAGCAGGCAGAGGGAGAGGGAGAAACAGGCTCCCCGCTGACAGGGAGCCCAATGCAGGGCTGGATCCCAGGACTCTGGGATCATGACCCTAGCCAAAGGCAAATGCTTAAATGACTGAGCCACCCAAGCGCTCCTGTAATATTTTTCAACTAGTTCTCGTTTGGCTTCAATATTGCTAGACTGTCTTGGTTGCTTTTTAACATTTAGACATGTCTTGTGGGATTTTGTATCTGATTCAATTTTGTATGTTGATGCCTTCTATGGTATGACAGTTGCCAAAACTCCAGCCTATGGGCCAAACCCAGCCTGCCGCCACCAGCATTTGTAAATAAAGTTTTATTTACAGCTACACTCATTCATTTATGTATTGCCTGTGGCTGTTTTCAGGATACAGTAGCAGAGTCATTGTGACAGACCATATGGTCCACAAAGCCAAAGATATTTACTATCAGAAAATATTTACTATACAGAAAAATACTGCTGACCTCTGGTGTACACAAAGTAGCAATAATAAGAGTGTGTGAGTGTGTGTGTGTGTGTGTGGTGCGGTGTGTACTAGCAGAGGATGAGGGGATGGGCAAGATTTGTGTTAGAATGTCAATTACGGTTTATCTTGATGAGATCAAAATGGTCCCAGTCAGAAATGACAACAGACAGATGTGGATTTGAGTCCATTTTGTCCCCTTACCTTGTGCTGATTAGCTTTTACTATTCATTCCTGCCTCCCTGTACAGAATTTATCTATGATGCATACTTTTTAGGAGAAAGGCATATG